CTAACAATGCTCCATGTGAATTTTGCCTATCTCAGACTCATAGAAAAGAAAGAAATCTAAGGTTGAAACTTCAAACGCATTTTTCTCAGTTTCACTTTTTAGCAGGAAATGTGGTATGAGGAAATGTATCATTTGACATTTTGAGAGTGTAAAGATTTCATTCAGTGGTGTCCTGGACGGAAATTTCCTCAGGAACAAGTTAAGGTAGTCATCATATGAAAAAGCTAAATTATTCATGACAAAAACTGAATATTTTAAAAGAGAAATTTGTTAAAATCTTTTGCACCTTTTGGGTTTTATTGTTTTTCTCTAGATTTGCATTTTCTATAATTAATTTTTACCTCAACTTGCACTATGGGTACTCTACTTCACATTAAAACAAACATTTTGTGGATTGCAATTATTATATTTTTTAAATACATTTCCTACTGAAGTCACTTTTTTCTGGAGCTTTTTAAGCACAGTATGTTGTAGAATTCGCCTACAAGACTGAAACTACGGATGTCATCAATCCTAATGGGGTTGAATTCACCCTGAAAGTGAATCATTTAAAGGAACGGTTCAAAAGTCGATTCTTTCAGGGCATGTCCCCTTTATCTATGCCTGCCTGCTGACCGCCGATGAAATGACATTTTAACAGAGCACATAGTTTAATTTGAAACGAATATATGTTGAGTACATTTTCAATCCCAATCGGGTCGAAGTCAAAAGTCCAACCCCCCGCCTACACCCGTCAGCATTAAGTACATCCGCCTAGGGAATCTCCATGTTTCCAGGTTCCCTCGGGGTAACCTTCGCCATCCGTCCCAAACATGGTAGACCAGGCCCACATTCCTCTCTCCACCACCAGAGTTCATAGCTGCAGCTTGCCGCACTTTGATGCACTCATCGTCCAGGCCCAGGCACTTGTCAAATGGTGATTTGCAGGCTGCCTCCACTTGTACGCCGGCGGTACCCCGTGGTTTTCCTTAAAGGGATACTGAACCGAAATTTGGATTTTGCAAAATAAGGCTGCAGAAGCGTTGAACGGGACGGCACAAACTCCAAAACATCACTGATACATCGATATCCCACACGGATGGCTGTACTTTTGGAAAAGAAGGGTGCGATCAAGCGAGGTCTATGACATCATTGTCCCTTTGGAGGATTTGAGAATGAGGACAAGCGGCCTCGCATCTCTCCTCTTTTCATCGGTTCACCAGCTCAACGGGACGTAGCGAGGAGGAGAAAGAATGAGAATCTTTTGTCTCGTTGGCCGTGTTCAATCGCGCACTTCTTTTCCGAAAATACTGTGATCCAGTAGACATACCGCTGTAGGAGATGTGTTTGGGCTTTGTAGACTCCCGCCTATCCATCTAGCCTTGTTTTGTGAGCTCGAAATTTAGTTCGATATCCCTTTAACGAGCCACATAGCCACCCCGACAGGGCGAGTGCCCCCAACACACCCACACGCACGCACACACAGCCACCGGGCCATTAGCGAGCGTCGGGAGAAGCACAAACAAAGCGGGGGATGCCTGCGTCCTGGCTTCTACGAGGTGTCGGGCAACAATCAATGTTAAAAAAAGGGGTAAGGATAAGCTTACCCTAACCACACTTAAACAAGAGGTGATGATAACTAGAAAGCTTAAAACGAGATCTGGGATTTTGCACACTTAGATTTCACAATTTCAATTCCAAGTATAATTGTTTGCTTGTCATAGTTCTTAACTTGTCTTAGCACATTCCTATGCTGGAAGGGGGCTTATGCCACAAATGAAAGATACCAAGGAATACTAAGACAATAATTACTTTCTTTTTCATTACCACAAACCTCTGCTAATCTGCTGCATGGCATGCAAAACAAACACAAAAGATTGTATCAACATACAAAAAGATAATGAAAGATAAAAACAACCAATGCAAGAAATACAGTAACAGTTCATACTATGCATACATAGGAGGAGAATGATTTACATAGTGAATGAATTTTAGATGGCAGAGCTTAGTTCAGATAATCATATAGTATTTATCTCAATGACATTATGCTGAAGGAATTGTGCTGAGAACTGGTTGAACATGCTGCACAGAAATATCTGGTCTCAAACTACTATATAGGAAGCTCTGGTTTAATCTCACGCTCTACATTTGCTTCAGCAGGTGCCTAGCTGCTTGAGTGCAGTGTCACGAAATGTGTTCAACCAGAAGTATTTATGAATGGCAGAAAATAAAGCCCTGGGGCATGGCAGAACAAAAATGCACCTATTGTATTTTCTAGTGAGAGTCACTTTTTGTTTTTCAAAAATTTTCGTCAGTGCATTTCTTACAACAATGCAACTTATATGCAATATTTTCTAGAACTATGGGCCTTAACCCTTTGGAGTCATGTGTCGGGTGACCCCCATCAAAAAAAATATTCAGGTTCTGCTCAAATGTCGGGGCTCCCCCGAAAGGCCCATTTCTCCTTTGCAGTCAGGTGTCGGGCGCACCCCGACAATTTCAACTTGCGCCATCTGTCATCGGGAATGTAAACTAGACTTTCTTAGTTTCTTCGCCCTCCGAAAGATGCCGCAAGTGACGCTACAAATTTTTGTTTTTTTGCGAAATGCGCGGGCGGGAAGAATGTTGCGCACCCTTTTACGAGTTCAACATGGCAGCCTTTACACCGTCCGCATTTTACGGAAAGGCTTGTGACTCAAGTGACAGTGAATGTGATTTTAGTGGAGAAGACACCTTTGATCCAAAGGAGGCCTCTGAAATAGTCTCTGACGAGTCCTCAGAGAGCGACAATGACAGCACCGAGAGTGATGAGATGTGCGCTGACGATGTCGCGCACATCTATTTGTTTGGTTGCTGGAAGTGGGAGTTGTCAACAGCTACATTCTCTTCTGCCTCGAAAAAATCAGCCAAGGCGAGCAAGCGCCGCGGCACCTCACGTTTCAGGAGGCATTGATAAAGGACCTTGTTGGAAATGTCCGCAACCAGCCAAGAAAACGGGGGCGCTCTTCCGATGGAGACTGCGAAGAGAGACTGAGCGGAAAGAACCACTTTATTTATAAACTTGATGGAAGCAAAAGCAAGGACTGCGCCGTCTGCAGCGACAGAAAAACCAAGGGGCAACGGCGCGGAACAGTGTTCTACTGCAAAACGTGCATTCGTCAACCTGGCCTGCACTTTGGCACTTGCTTTAAAAAGTACCACATGCTGCGCAAGTACCGCTAGCATTTCAAGAACTAAAAGCACCCAGGAGAATGCAGTTATTTTCAATTGAACATATTACTATATTAAAATAAAAATGTTAAATTTGAAGTTACTTGTTGCTTGTACAGTGTAATCCACTTATAACGATACCAGATATAACGATATATCGCTTATAGCGATCAAATTTTTTAGATTTGTCAATTCTCCCATCGCCCCTATGTAAAAATAAACCATATATAACGATAGAATTATCGGCGACATATCGGATACAACGATAGAATTCTGGCCGCCCGGAAGGTGCTTATCACGAAAAATTTGCCTGGAAATTTGAGAAAAATTAAAATACTTGAAGCGAACGACATGAAAACTAGTAAAAATATCAAAAACCGGTCGGCGTGGAAAGATCCGCTAGGTGACGCGAGGCGCCGCCCGATTTAAAAAGTTCAGCCTCATCCTTCGGAACTAAGTGCTATCGTCATCGCAATCGCTGAAGGGAGGAGAGAAAGAGCTTGCTTGGCCGCCGCCGCGCAACGCTTCCTAGTTTTCCCCCGTTTCCGCACGTTCGTACGTTCGTGAGGTAAAAATGGCGCCGACTAAGCGCAAAGCGATATCTCTGGAGGTGAAGCAGCGAATTCACCGGGATTTCCGACAAGGATTCAAGGTTGGTAGCCTTGAATCCTTGTCGGGATTCAAGGCTACCAATTTGTGATCGGGAAATCGAAAAGGCCTCACTGCTTTAGGAATCAATGCATTCCAGTCCGCTATCGAAATAACAAGAAAGCGTGGATGACGCGAGATCTCTTTGAGGAATGGCTCCTCGAGTTTGACGGCGCTATGGAGAAGCAGAAGAGGAAAGTGGTGCTGCTCCTCGACAACTGCAGCGCACACAACGTCAGCCCGAAGCTAACGTCCGTTGAGGTAATGTTTCTGCCTCCGAACACCACGGCAGGTCTGCAGCCCATGGATGCCGGCGTAATCGCCAATTTCAAGGCCCTCTACAGACGTCGCATGCTGGAATGGCTCATCATGAAACTAGACTGCTCAGGATTGTCTCAATACGCCGGCGGACCTCCTGACCTGAAGGTGAGCTTGTTAGAAGCGGTGCGGTTCGTGCATGGTGCGTGGTATGAGGTGAAGCAGGTTACACTCAAGAACTGTTTTAAAAAGGCAGGCTTCGTGCGCCACAACGCCACGGTCTCGGAAGAGACAAATGACTTGCTCATCGAACCTGCCGATGTGGGTGAACTTTGGGACCACATAGCAGCTTCCGAGGAGAACATCGGCGGAGCTCTCTTGGGAGACTTTTTGAACGCGGACAACGCTGCCGCTTCATGCGAGGAGTCTACTGATGAGGCCATTGCCGAGGAACAGCAATCGCGACGAAAAATCACATCGAGCGACTGCGAAAGTAGTGACGACGACGGCGGCGACGAGAACACCCCGCCTCCAATGTCTTCACAAAATGCCCTGCTCTCCATCCAGTCGCTGGTCGGTTTTGTGCACGCAAAAGGACTGCCGCCAGCGTACGCGCAACAACTGGAAGCAATGCACACGGCAATTGTCAAACTTCAGCTCAAGCAAGCGCAAATTTCCGACTTTTTTAAGCATGCTTAAATTATTTTATAGTCATTTTCGTACCTTTTAATAAAGCCTTCGGTTTTCTTTGCCTCGGCTCGCGTTGTACGACCTGATTCACTCATCGCCCGTAAGTAACTTCTCTTTGTGTTTTTTTTTTGTCGGTCCAGATATAACGATAATCGGCTATAACGATTGGATTTTGCGGTTTTCTCAATATCGTTATAAGTGGACTGCACTGTATCACTTTTGCATAAACTAATTCTGACCTGAGGGGCCAACAAGGGGAAAACTCACATGACCCCAAAAGGTTAACTATGAAACTTTGCCATAGGAGTTACATCTCTCGTTTAGTTCGGTGACGGTTATATTGAAACTTGCTCTTACTTGCAGACATATTGCAATCATAATACACATATGCGGGATTTTCAATTAATATCTGTTGTGCCAATCATACAAATATATCAGTGCAACTTGTATGAAGGGGCGGCCTTTATATTAAAGTTTTCATGAAAACAGCCATTTATATTGCAGCGCGACTAATGCACATGTGTGATTTATGTACCGGAAAATATGGTACATGCTCATGGCAATGGTGACCTTTTGGTTCTCTATTAGTGATGGTTCCATTTGCATTCCTGACTCCAGAGAGTTAACGGCAGCGAGTATTGGTAGATCATAGACGATTCATGAAATAAGCAACCAGTTAACATGTGGTTTTGACCCAAGATGGTCTCGAATAAAAGGGTAAAATGACACTGTGCAACTATGTTGAACCACACCATTCATTACATTCCGATGGACGTCCCTCATGGATGATGGTCCTTCTGATGTGCATTTAAATGAGTTCCCTGCACAAACTTTTCTCCACACTGCTCACAATGAAGTAACGAGTCTCTATAGTGAAGTCTCTCGTGACACCTCAACTGGAACCGCCGTCTGAACGCGGCCCCACACGTTTCGCACCTGTATGGTTTGTCTCCAATGTGGACTTTTTCATGACGCGTCAAGTCACTGCTTTTCGCAAATGCCTTCTCACAAATCTCGCACCTGAACGGCCTCTCGCCCGTATGAATCCTCACGTGAGCCTGCAGGGTACTTTTGTGCGAAAAAGCCTTCTGACAAATCTGGCACTTGAACGGTTTTTCACCCGTGTGAATTCTTTCGTGAACCTGCAGGTTACCCTTCACGGCAAACACTCTGTGACAGATGTGGCAGCTGAAGGGCTTTTCGCCTGTGTGCGTCCTTTCATGCCTCTCAGCGCCCCACTGAAACTCCTCTCGGTGCTGGTGCGCCATCTGCTGCCACATGTTGAACAAGTCGCTTTCAGAAAAGTGTTCACCCACGGAGTCTTCACAGCCAAGGACCTCTTCTTCGACTTGAATGGCTTTTGGGACAGGCCCTGCAAGAGAAACAAGCCAAATTGTATTTAGCAGGCTTTCTTTTATCAAAACCAGCAGCTTGAAGACAAAAATGCACCTGAGCATCAACGCAGGCAGGGTAGAAGGTGCTCATTAACTTATGAATGCAGTGCTCCCAAGAAACATTGTTTTTTAGTGCCTGGAGAGGACATATATGTCACAAAATGAACTTTTTCTAAAGAGAACCAAAACATTAAACACATTAACATCACCAGTGTTTTGACTTGGGAGCAGTTCCAAGACTTGCTTTTGTTCCAGGGTCGTCACGATAGCAAAGCTCGTTGCAGAATTGCTCTCAACTCCAAATGTGTCTCGCAACATAAATACTAGTTTTTTTTTTTTTAGGAAAGGTATTTTTTTACGTATATACCTGATCCAGGCACTTAAAAAAATGTTTCGTGCCAGTTTAGCATCTCTTTAAAGACGGAAGATTCTATGGATAGATTGTTTTAGGTGCGTAGAGCATTCTCCATACTGAAACTAAATAAAACTTGGGCATTAACTGCCTACAGACTTCGAAGTACTTAACTAATTCTATTTCACGCTTGATGAATACTCGAAATCTCGTTTTTATTCCCTCTCCTAATATTTTATTAGCCAGTTGGCATTAAAATAGTGCTTGCAGCCTTGTAGCAACATGTTATACACTATTAAAAACATATACCATATTTTCCGGTGTATAAGTAGCGTTCTTTTTTTTTTTTTTTTTTCAAACATCTTTCTTGGTGCGTTTTATACAATGATGCAACCTATATGTGTTTTTTTATTTCACGTTGAGACGTCAGTTTATTTATGTGCCGCATGCCATTTTTTGTAGAGCACCGTAACTACATAGCCATAGGTGGCGTTGCCCCTCCAAGGGGGCACTGCCGTCACCGCACTCTTTTACACTTTTCGTAACCGAGTCAGAAAACGAGAAATTTTATGGTTTTCTTGAAGCGGCTCAATGTGGATAGGCAAGACAGTGAGAATAAACCTTCTTCAGCATGCGATCAACGTTGCCTAATTCAGCTATGGTTTTCTATTCTTTTGCTTTATTCCAATAACACTGAAAGGAAAGTGGGCCAGTATACACACATTGCAGAAAAGTTTTTCGTGTCTTTTTTAGTTTCCAAATGATAAGCAGTTTTGTATGCCATACGCCAGCCGTGTTTCTACATGGAAAAGGAAGGCTTGCGGCTAGCCGATGTTTTAGCAGCATACAAAGAAGTGTGTCAAGATTTATCTATCTGCCTGCACATCGATGTTCGCATCATCTCCGTGACTTGGCCAAGGCTAGGCCTAGTGGTCTAAAGCTTGATTCACGAGTGTCTGGAATGTTAAACTTTCGTTCGCTCGACATGTGTGCGCTCAAATAAAGCCGACTTGACAACCTTCTCAATTTATATGTCTAGGTCCTTTTGCTGCGAAACACTTGATTGCTATCGCCAGACAGCACCGTGCTATGGGCATATCTTGCGATTCAAAACGTCGAAGTTGTTGCTTATCAAACGGTACGTGTGAACTAGCCGATTGTGCGAAACTCCAATTTTGTGATACTGATGCGCGTAAAACGAAAAAAACTCATCGCGTGAACTGTGCAAAGAGGTGCGACTTATATACCAACTTTTTCGCGAAAACAGCTTCATACACGGAAGTGCGACTTATACAAAGGTGCGACTTATAATCCGGAAAATACGGTAGGTGGATCCTGTGTGAGAGCGACAGGCCACTCGGCTAAAAGGAAACATGATGATTTTAACACAGCACTTTCAAACAGGCTTCATTCATGTGAACACTGCTTTAGTGGACTAGATCCAGTGTGGTAGTTCGGTTTGGGGGAAAGAGCAGTTGCGTGTAATTTTCTTTGCTTGGGCCACACACAATTCTAATGCTGTCACATTGGTGGAAAGAGAAATGGTTTGAAAGAACTGGTCATGCCAAAAGTTGGCCGGTGGTTGGAGAAGCCCTCCCTAACCTATGGATTCCCTAAAGATATATTTCCTAGATTGAGAAAATGGCCACATATTTTTACCACAAGGTTTAGAAGAGGCTGAATAGACAACCATGATAGATCTCAATGCAATGGTACACAACACTGTCCACATTTAAGACCAATTTCAGCAAACCAAGCCACCAGTGGTGTCCAAAAATATGTAATAGTGCAAAACAAATGTCTCCCACCTATTACAGAACATTTAAACACAAAAGCAGTAAAGCTGGGAAAGCATGAACAGAACAAATGGCACCACCATTGAATATAAATAACAATTCTGTGCAACAGCAGCACAAAATTAAATAAAAACATGATTGGAGACAATGCGAAACAACTCAGCATATTTCCTGTTAGAAGGACGCCCATGTATGTACCCTTCAATATAAAAAAGAGGACAGGGCACCATCTGAGGCTGCTGAAAAAAGGTGCAGCAAAGAAAGTCTTTACAAGGAGTCACTTAGGGAAGTCCTTTAGACGGCTACTTCACCACACTGGTTTTGTTTGCAGAGATGTGACATTAGTGGATTGGACCAGGTGGGTTGGCTATTTGGGGTTGGGAAAACGGCAATAAATTGGACACGATGCCAAAGCATGGCAACATCCGTTCTGATCTAAAGACGTCTTATCTATGTGAATAAACAATCTATCCGAAGGATCAGAGCCACCATAAGTTGGCTTGACTGGTGGGTGCTTCATTCCACAAAGTAGCAATGTGCAAATTCGCTGTATTTGCTCCGAGACAATCCAAGAGAGATAGACCTGTAAATAAAAATTGGAAATTTATTAATGTGCCACTCTGTTCACAATGTCTATAGGCTACAACAGTGCAAAGAAAAAAGCAACTTGCCACGTGGTACTTCTATACACAAAAGTACAAAGCAAGAAATTTTCCCTTGTCATCAGACAAACCAATGTAAACTTGCACCTAACAAAATCACCTAGAATGCATGCCAGGTCACTCATGGTTTGTTTTCAGATGCAAGTGGCCCTGATAGACATTTTACAAGTGCTCTCTTCTGAGGGTTTTCAGTGCACAACCACTGGTATATTGCTACGTAAGGTTGTTAAAAAGGGTAGGGAAACGAAATTCCAGCGCTCATTTTCTAGCATGAACATGTTGCATAATGCACCCTAACCTCAAAAGCACCAGTCTTCCGTTGAAAGGCACAAAAAAACTAATTTTAAAGCTAAATAAACAATCTTTCAATGTGCACCTGGTGGATGCACGCAGAGTCTATTTGGGAGGTAATCTAGCAACTTTGGGGAACTTCCCACGTAGTCATGACGTAGCAGACTCCTTCGGAGCAGCGCCACTCTTTGGCATTTCAGCATTTTCCTCCTTAGCTTTCCTCCTCAACTCACAAATCGCGCATTGTACCAAACGGCCCAAGAAGACGGAAAGGAAGGACTCCACTCTTTCTCGGACCCTCGTTCGTGCAACCGGACACAGCCACTCTTCCCCTAGAAGATTAGCCTGTCGCTCAAAACTCGAACAAAAGTTGCTTTCCCCACCCCGTTCAGCCCTAAGCTGACAGTGTTGTAAAAGCTACGTGCTCCTTGGGCCAGCCACACACTCGTCACCCCACGGGTACTTCGAACGGCTCGGTTGTAACGCGCTGATGCTATTGACACCACCACAACGTTGACAACGCCACCGAGGACAAAGCTCATAACCACGCCAGCCTTGCAACGTCACGAATGCGGGGTATCTTTTCTTTCTGTTTTTGTTTGCGCCGGATATCCCATGATGCATCGCGCTTTCCGTTCGCTTCCCTTTGAGCGCTTGCTCGAGTGCACCGTTTGGAACGAAAAATATAGCCAGTCGTTCAAAATGCAAACGTGCGATTATCATTTACGGTTATTATCCGTCATGCTTGACTCATTTCCGAACGAAATTTGAATATTTCAATTTTTGTTTCCGTACCCCTTTAAGGGGACATGCACCAGGGTAAAATATGTTTTTTTTTATTACAATATCGAAAATGAAAGTTTTTAGTTTATTGTGTTTAATCTTCTCTTTAGGAATCTGGTGTTAGATTTGGTAGAGTTCTTTTTTTTTTTTTTTTCAGGTTCTTCGCGCAATGTACATGCAGAAAAAAAACATGTTCTTGTGCATATGTGAGGCATGGCAACACACTTAGAAAAGCCTCGTAAAGTAAACTAATTTGCTCCTTCTAAACCACTGAGTGCAATGAACAACTAAAATAATGAGTGCAAAGCTTCTTTCCTCTCAAATTAATTAAAAAGAGCAAAAATGCCATATCAACTTGCCATAACTTTTTCATAAATATAAAATAAAGATATTCTAACCAAACCTAGAGAGTCACATTCTACATATTCTAAAGTATATGCATACCAAATTTGGTTGTGATAGAACAATAGACCCATTTCAAAATTGTGAAATGATGCATAGATTATGCAGAGCCGCCATTAGTTGTTGTCATCGCTTCTGGCGTGAAGCCTGTGGATGGTTCCGAGTTCGTGCCGAACACTGACACAGCACTTGTGTCCAATGCGTGTTCGCAGTGCATAACCAACTAATTGTACGAAAAATATTATTGTGTTAATAAATTTCCGTGAGAAATTGAAGCTATAGAAGACTGCAATGAAGAGAAGATGGCTAGGCCTACCTGTAAACGTAAATATGATGGTGGGTGACGTCGTAACTTGAAGAACCACAAAGAGATGAATGACTCAAAATCATGCCATTCTGCATTGCCTGGAGGTCTTTGAAAGCGTATTTGACTAATTCCGAGACCATAACCGGCACTAATTATTTTTTTATGTCAAATATAAAGATTCAAAAATAATAAAACACCATAAAACCCAAAATCCCAACTTTTAGAAAATATTGCCATTTTTTACTCGCATCTCTTCTTAATTTGTAATTATTAATCAAAATAGGAGTGAGTAGTCACGGCCCTAAACAAGACAACTTGAATATGTTAGTTTTTATCGAAGTGAAATTGTTTCTGCTCATTAACATTCTTCACTGATTTTATGCAGCTTTTGATGGTGATGCTTGAACTCCAAGTTTAGGAGGACTGTGCATAAACTTTGAATTGTGTATGATATAATAATTGACTACTTCCTAATGCCACAAACCAATATGGCCATGTGCACTGATCACACCGAGAATTACTAGAAATCTCGAAATAAAAGCTTGTTCCACTATAAAACATAATATCCGAAAATTATGCCTCCTTGCATGAGGCCTTGCAGCATATAATGTTTGCCAAAATAGCCTGGAAAAAGGGATGCAATCATGCCTCATGTTTACGGTCACTTTGGAACTAGCCACCAGACAATAGTAGCTCTCTTTGCCACGGTCTGTACGAATGCCATTGGGAAGCCACGTATGAAGTAGTCTCCAAAGTTTCCAGGGCTGGGCCTATATGAGAACCTTTGTGTGCAGAAAGCACACGGTGATTTGTCCATTGTATTAAGACAAACCCCCTGTACAAAAGTGCAGAACTCCTCCAAGTAGGTCACGCATTAGCTACTACATATGGGTACTAAAGGCACAGTATATACAGCTCGGCGATTTGGGAAAAGTTGTTTGCCGAGTAGTGCACTAAAGGCCCGCTCACACGATGCATTTTTCTCGCGCATCTAGTGTCGCGATATGTAGTTTTGCGAAATGGTTGCGCCGTCTGAACGAGTCCGAAAAGGACGCACGCATCTAAAAAAAGTTGCGCGCACACCTCGCTTCTGGAGCGAGCTTTTGCTGAAACTTTGCCGAGTCCTGTCAATCACTCTGAGAGCGCCACCAATGGCCGCTCAGAAACGCTCTCACGTGGCCTTTGAGGGGGCAGCGAGCTGTTTGAGAAGATCACTTCACTGCCGGTGTTGTAGCGGAGCCAAATCCAAAAAAAAAAAACCCCGAAACCCCGAACGATGGATACCGCCGGCGCTTCCGCAAGCACGTCAAGCACCATTGAAGGAAAAGTGAGCAGCATATCGGAAAAAAATCCAGCGATGGACAAAGACAATTAGCGGGAGTTGGCGAGATTAGAATAGTGCTGATAGCGTTGTTGTCGCGACGATACCGCTGGATAAGAGACCATCGAGTAAACTGAAACCAAGTTTGCTTTGTTTACAAGCGAACATGAAACCATGTGCGCTCTCTGAAACAGTTGGCACAGTAAACTCGGGGCAGACATGGGCGCCGAGAAGTAACCAGATTGGGCACATAGCGTTTCTATGAATACCATGTGCATTGACAGGAGCTTTGGCAATGAATTGGCTGCGTACGAGCTCGACACCGGCACATGTCTTGCACGTACATGTTGCCGCCTCAATCGGCTTAGCGCACACGCGAGATCGCTCCAAGTAGTGCAGTATGTGAGAAAAAAAAATTAAAGTGAATTGACTGCATAAAATGCGCAAAGCAGGTCCCCAGATAAATAGTGATTTGATTCGGAGCTCCCTCAAAACAGTGCATCGGTGTGTGTTGTTGTTGCACGTGTAGCTGTTTGTGTGAACGAGCACATTTCGCAAAACTTGAGTGTCGCGAAACTGTTGCGCGCCTAAAAGATGTATCGTGTGAACAGACCTTACGGTTAAGTTCTGGAATCAGATGGGCAGAAGTCCTATGAATATCTACAACACATTGAGGAAGGCTTAGAGATATAAGCCTTTGAACAGCCTTGTCGACTGAGGGATGGCAGTGGGAAAGGTTGAAGACCACAAACGTAGTGGGCAGCCAGTCGCTCCCAGCTTCTGACTTTCCCGACAAAAAAAAAAAAAAAAAATTTTTTCTATCTGACTTAATTTTACTCACCTGACCTCACCACCCTAACTTCCACCTGTTTCCCAACATTGCACACAGACATCAGAACTGTTGGTTTTCGAGCACAAAAAAAGCCCAAAACACATCACTGGTTCAACTGAACGACACTGTAAAGAATAGGTTTCGGAAGTGCTTGGACAAGATCTGCACCCTCTGGGAGAAATCTGCTCTTACAAAGACGGGGGAGGTGCTTATTTTGAAGGAGTATGTGTTTTCTACTTTTGTATCTCTCACAATCTCTGGACTTACGGACCTAGTCCCAAAACTTTGGATCATAGTTCGTAGGTACTGAAACACAACTTCAAAATTCTCCAACAAAGGACATAAATTAAACCAAGACGTCAAACAAATATAAAAACTACCGATGAAGTAGTTGTGTTTAAGAAATAAACCCGCTTTCTTTTTGTAAGATGCATTGACAACACAGAGCTCAACATATTTAAGGACAATTTGCTGTCTGCATCATGCCTCCATTATTACAAATAACAGAATAAAAAAAAGCTTTTGTGACCACAGACACATATTCTAATAGTTAGTACAACCAAACAAATTACTGTCAGTGGTGCTCCCAAAGAGTCTTTACGAACCCCATCAAAGCTGAAGAGCCAATGAAGTCAGAGGAAGAGGCGTCAGAAATGAATGAAACCAGCGATAAAGAAATGCTTGGAAAAAGAAAGGGAGAAGAAGTTCTGTGCACGTCAGATCCTGGCTCCACATCTCATTGAGAGAGGGCATAGTCAAAGAGGAGGAGGAAGAGGCAAATGAAATCTTCATCCCCCAAAGCTCCCATCACCAAGCAGGATTCCATCCTGCCCGGCCACGAGGTCCTGGAGAGTCAATGAGTTGGTGAACTTTGAAATTCCTACAACTGCACGACAAAAGGACGCCGACTGACCTGACAGAGAAAATTATGGTTTTAGGCCTACATGCGTTAGGGCAGTCAAGAGTAGACATGACAGAAAGAACACTGAACCCAAAGCCTGCGTGGGGATGCTTTGCTAACAAATTGGACTGGACTATTAGAAATATAGAACCAGTCGAAATAGAAAAATATGAGAAACATTTTGGTGAGAGCACTAAACTTTTACGCTTCAGGAAGACCATCTGTCGCCTTCGTACATGTTCACTCTAACATATTTTTACGATATTCGAGTGCGATATACGTCCAGAGCTGAGGTTACAGCACTCTTTGACAATGTTGTAACCTTCAACGGATTTACTTTCCACATGGGTCATTGAATGCAATGTCTAAATTATGTACCATTCTTTTTTTTCTCTAACAGATGCATATATATACTTCATTTCTTTCGTTCTTGCTACTTAGGTTTTAAACCTATAAATAAACATTTGTTTAAAAAAAAAAGGTGGCATAGCACAGTGGTAAGGTGCCTGCTTCATACGCAGCGGGCCCCAGTTCGATTATTGATGTGGGCATACTTTTTACTTTTTTTATAGGACATTTTTTCTTTGTCGAGTCTTTGGCAAAGTTTATGACATTTCTTTTTTACAATTAACGCTAAAAAGAAAAGAAAAACGAATGTTGTTGACGAAATTTTGCAGAACTAAATGGTATAAGACTCCCTTTCTGGAGGTGCAATTGGGGACAGCGGGGCTTGGGTTGCCGGCTGGACGCCGCGAAGCGGCGTTAAATTTTGTAATTAGCAGCCACACTGTCACCGAGCAGTGTTAACGCAGATGGGGGGTGGGTTAACGCGCTCACCAGTGATACACGCACTGTCCGGAAAGGGTGACCCAAATGGCCTGAGCTCTCCGCATAGTGTGTATAGCCATTTCTGGCTGAAGTGCACAACTGCGTATAGCTTTACTCAAAAAATAAAGGCTGTGTCTACAGTGCCGTCCGACGGCACTCCACTCGCACCTACAAGTGCCGTCCGAAAGAAAGTAGGATGGAGCGTGTATCACTGGGGAGCTCATTAACCCACCCCCTCGCCTGCGTTCATGCCGCTTCGCGGCGACAGGATGCAGCTGCTAACTACAAAACTATTAACCTACTTGGCCCCGTCGTAGCACACATTGTTTCGCAGCACCCAAGCCCCACTGTCCCGCATTCAACCCCCGGAAAGGGAGTTCCCTACCATTTTGTTCAGCGAAGTTCCGTCGACAACATTCGTTTTTACCAGTATTAATCGTAAAAAAGAAATGTTGGAAATATTGCCAAACGCCTCAACAAAATAAAATGTATAAGAAAAAAAAAAGTAAACCCACGCGGTGCATTGAACCCAAGTCCGCTGCGTATGAAGCACACATCTTACCAATAGCCGATTCACACGACGGACCGTGTACCCCGTGATTGGCACATCACCGATTACTGCGATCTGCTCTTTGTCCGCGGACGCGCAGACTGATAAAGTCGAGCGTCTCTTTCACTCGCGGATTTTTGGCGGGAGATTGACTTGAAAGGTGTTTAGTCTGGCAACGGTACATGGTTTTCTTTGTTTTTTTGTTTCTGGACAATTAAAAGAAAAATGGCGCATCATTGTGATTTGTGCGTTCGCTGGTTCATTTTGTTGCACGTTTCTTGGTTTCACGTGTGAAAGAAACTGTAGAAACTTTGTCTGGCTGACGCGACACAGGTTCCGGTACTCCTCCAAGTCTGCATCAAGCTCTTGTCAAAACTCGTCTAGCACGCCGCAACAATTCTTGCACGTCCAATCAGGATTTCACAGAGCAAGACCTCTCTTGTGCCTGTGGTGCACTTGAATGTTGTGCACGAGCGTGGAATGCGTGAAGGCATCTCCAAACGCCCCTCCGCGAGCCCAGAACTTCGTCGCTTCTATGCCGAACCCTTCTCGAGCAGGACCATGCCTCTGTCACTGTCATACTTTGGGTTAGCAAAGCTAGTGGCACTTCGCACGAAGCCTATCACAGTGTTTTGTTTCGATCTGTACGTAACAACGGCATACGTTTCTTTATCGTGGTAGCAAACAGATTTCTCTCTTGGACAACGATGCCACGGTGGAGTTTTGCGGCACTGCAGGATGGCAAACAGGTTCGGTCCGTCCTCGCTGGCGTCTAACCGTCATCTCCCTCGTGTAAATGCGGTTCGGAGACAAACGAACCGCAGACATGTTGTAACGTGATCAATCCATCCCCGGATCAGTCCATCGTGTGAATGGGCCATAAACTACGCTACTTTTTTTCATTCTTTTTTTTTTTTTTTTTCATGTCATTCTAAAAGCGCTGTACAGCTCTTTTGCACAGCGTATTAAAATTCAAGCATTTCGAGGAGAGATTTTAAAATACCAGTCCACTCCAGTTCAGGTTCATAGTAACTTGTTTTACAAGGCTGAAAAAATATAACCACACTTCTTTTGCACTGACGTCAGCATGTCGAACAGCCATACGTGATCTCAAAATGCTGCACAAACCTAAAAACATATAATCATGTCATAAGGAACTTCATAGGAAACATATCCCTGTTCGGGTTACAGCTAGTTCTTTCTTTAAAGGGGGGTGCAATGATTTCCGGACTTCGGTCAAAACTTTGTGGAAGTTGCCCTCCGACACTTCTGAAGAACAGAAAACCGATTTCGCCTGTGTCCTAGTTGTACAGAATTTTTTGTACGTTTTTTAATTAAGGAGATGTTTTCTCTATCCTCCGGGACACGATAAACAACGTAAAAAAGACGAGATGCAAATTCTTTTAATCTTAAAATCGTTGCACCCCCCCCCCCCCCCCCCCCCCCTTTTAAAGTGCGCTGGAGCACATCCAAAAAAAAAACAAAAAAAAAAGAAATACCGAGTTTTAACAAAAAATAATCACGTCTTCAATAGTCTCAGGTTTCTCCATAGAAAGCAAATTACCGACCATGGCACATCTACCGCGCCCCAACCAAGGCTCGAGGAAACTTCGATGCTCCGTCGACGAGGCCTGTGGTTCACTCACTCACTCACCCACCCACCGTCGACACGACTGTTGCACCCGAATGAAGCAGAGCCCGCCGCACGGTGCAAACTGTCTTGTGCACAGGAGTAGGAACGAACTGCCTAGATTCTAGAACTGCCAAACTGAATCATAAAGCACCCGGGCCAACATGTCGGGAAAACGCACACAGACAGAAGTTTCTGGACATCAGGTGACACAATCAAATTTCAGGAAATCGCAGAATCATTCAATGCTGACACCAAGTTTCAGTTAAGACGAGTTTGGATAATTGATTCAGTCGTTGTCCAGCTGATACAGAGACGATTAAACCACATCCAGACAAGGCAATGCACCGGAGCCGACACGCACCACACACCATCTCAACGGGCAAGCCACTGGGCTTCTATCGGATTGGATTAGATGATAATGACTTTACTTATACTGGTATCCTTAGTGGGATGGTTTTTGTTAGTACAATAATATTTAGTACGCTATATAAACTTCGTTAAAAAAACTAAACTGATTATTTATCTTTACGTTCGAGTTACACAAAATATCTTCGTTTTTGTTGTTCTGTACGCTTTAGTTTCGGTTTTTGTTTGCCGTCGGCTGAAAGAAACGCGTCAGCAATGCGACAGGGCGCGTTTTGGGCGGATTGTTCAATTTCTGATGGTCTCGCGTTTAACTCCGAGATATTTCCTGAAGAGTTTTCACCATATTTCTTCTGGGCAAAAATGTAGGAAACCAGCGGTCCGAGCTCCCATAATCCTCATTTGTGTTTCCGTCGCATGACACAAAGTGTGAAGCTAGGGTGAAGATATCGTACCCTTGCCGCCCTGTTTTTCCGCCAATGGAAGACCTTCCAGTCGGGCTTCGGTCAACAGTAAATAGTCAGTTCTGAATCTTTAATTTGCGTAAACGTTGTGCAACCTTTGCTTTGTTTGCGCAATCATGTTTTCAAAAATTGAATTTTGTGGCATATCAATACTGTATATTTTGGTCGTTTAAATTTGGATGCGATGCCGGCGCACAAAATTTGTGAAATTTGTGAAGGTAAATACCTAGATGCCCCAGTGTCACTCGATGGCCTTAAAATCACAGAGAACGATGATGTACACTGAACTATAAAATCCCCCGACTACAAAGTGAATGCTGTCCGTCAGTCTCTATTCTGGACCACCGATACTCGATCGGAGTCGATCTTAGGCAAAGCAATGCAAACGTGAAGCTCGATCCAATTCTTCGAAAAAGCATAAAATAATAAAATTCAAAAAGGTTCAGTGGAGAATGTGCAGTCGATACTTCGAAGGAGGTCCGCGTGTGTTTACGAACCCATTTGCACCATGGTGGGCGCTCCAATAAAAAAAAGTTGCGAACGCGGCTAAAAAAAAAATAGTTAAGATTAGATAAAATTTGTGGTGGGCGCTTTGTAGTTCGTGTGAAAAATAAGAAAAAAAGGCTTACCTATTACTGCCTTTTTCTTTCTTTGCCTTTTCCTCGAATAAATTCGCTCTTTGCAAATTTTACAAAAAAAAAAACAACAAATAAATAATGCACCACCTGTGGACAACGCTGCACAAAATCGTAGCGCGATAGGTTAAGAAACCGAATTTTGCGGTAGATTTCAAGAGCCTGACCGCTAGTTGGGACATCCTGTAAAAATGTACTAAGGAATGTATGGTATTTCAATGAAAAAAAAACAGCACAAGGACAGAGTAAAACTGGACAAACACAAGGTTGTATCTGTTGTGCACTTCCACTCTCCTAGTGTTTATTTGTTTATTCAGCAAGCAAAAAAATAATAATAATAATGCAGGGACATAGTAAAAGAATTGAAGAAAGGCAAGGTTGTATTTGCTTGGCGCTTTTACACTCTCCTTCTACTTGTTTATTCAGTTACCTTCAGGTCCAAAAGCATTACGGAGGACAGTGATAGGGCACACAAGAATAAAAATTTTAAAAAAGACCACGGCAACATCAACAAACATAAGCAAACAAACAACTGTACGACACTTTACCAAAACAACTCGGACAAGAGCATGACAAATGTTTTGTTTGACAAGACTGGACGACATGTTCGGGATGATAATCAATTTCATAGTGAAATGTACATGGTCTTGATAGAAGCCGTATGTTCAGAATTGAGTAGTAGTTACATTACAAAACACAAAGTATTTTTCTGTAATGTGAGAGAAAAGGGTAATGATCGATAAGCCTACCTTAAGCACTGTTAAAGAAGAGGTGATATCGATAGGAAAGCATAAACGAGACGTGTGATTTTGCATGGTTGGAGATTTCACAATTTCAATTCCAAGTATAATTGTTTGCTTATCATAGTTCTGAATTTGTCTTAGCACATTCCTATGCCAAAAGGAGGTTTATGCCTCAAATGAAAGAGCACCAAGAGATACTAATACCTACAAAGATTACTTTTTTTCATGACCACAAACCTCTGCTACCTGCTGTATGATATGCAAAACATTACATCAACATACAAAAAAGCTAATGAAACATAAAAACCAGCAATGAAAAAGAACAAAAAAAAAAAAAAACACAAGGGCATACTAAGCATGCTTAGGAGGAAAATCGTTAACGTATAGGTGAATGAATTCTAGACGGCAAAGCTTGGTTCAAATAATCAAATAGTATTTGTTATCTCAATGATATTATGCAGAAGGAATTGTGCAGAGAACTGGTTGAAGCCTCCATGCTGCACAGAAATATCTGGTTTCAAGATATTGTCTTTGAAGGTCGCATTTTTTATTTCATGCTCTCTACATTCGCTTCAGCAGGTGCCTAGCTGCATGACTGCAATGTAAAAAAAATGCATTCAGCTTGAAGTAGCCAGGAATAGTAGAAAGTAAAGCTTTCTGTGGTGCATGGCAGAACAAAGATGCACCTACTGTATTCTACAACACATAGGGCACACTTTTTTACCGAATATTTCCGTCGATGCATTTTATACAATTATGCCACTTATATGCATTTTTTTCTATAACTATGGGCCTTAACAACAGAAATTTGCCACAGAGGATACATTTCTCTTTTGATTGGCTGACGAGAAAATTTAAGCTTGCTATCGCTTGCACATATATATTGCGATCATACTACACATATGCCGACTTTCAATTAACCTTTGCTGTGCCGATCACACAAATATATAGGTGCAACTCATATAAAAGTATGGCCAGTACTCCAACATTTTACTGAAAACACCCACTTACAGTGAGGCACAACTTACGCAAAAATGTCTCTTATAGACCGGAAAATATGATATATGCACTCATTACGATGGGCACCGAGGGCTTCTTTATAAGTGATAATTCTTTCCGCTGTCCTGACTCTAGAGAGTGATAGATGGCAGTCAGTATTGGTAGATCATAGATTATTCATGAATGGGCAATCAGTTAACAGGTCCATTCAAGATGGTCTTACATGAAAGGGTAAAATGACACCGTACAAATAAGTCGAGCTACACCATTCTTTAGTATACAACGAACGTTCCTCATGGATGACGCTCCTTCTGATGAGCATTTAAATGAGTTTCCTGCACAAACTTTTCTCCACACTGCTCACACTGAAATGGCGGGTCTCCACTGTGAAGTCTCTCGTGACGCCTCAACTGGAACTGCCGGTTAAACGGAGCCCCACACGTTCCGCACCTGTACGGTTTGTCACTCATGTGGACTCTCCTGTGACGCGTCAAGTGACTGCTTTCCATAAACGTCTTCTGGCAAGTCTGGCACCTGAACGGCCTTTCACCTGTATGAACCCTCACGTGAGCCTGCAGGCTACTTTTGTGTGAAAATGCCTTCCGGCAAATCTGGCACCTGAACGGCTTTTCACCCGTGTGAATTCTCTCGTGAGCCTGCAGGGTACTCTTCAGTGAAAACAGTTTGTGGCAGATACGGCAGCTGAAAGGCTTCTCGCCTGTGTGTGTCCTTTCATGCTCTTTGACGCCCGACGTGCGAAAGCTGGAGAAAGGGCAGAACCGGCACTCATACTTCTTCTCTTGGTGCTGGTGCGCTATCTGCTGCCAAACGGTAAACGAGTCATTCTCTGAAGAATGTTCACCCTCAGCATCTTCACAGCCAAGAGCCTCTTCTTGAACTTTAGCAATGGCTCTCAGGACAGGCCCTGCAAGAGAAATAAGCCAAATTGTATTTAACAGGCTTCCCTTTACCAAGAGCAGCAGCTTGAAGACAAAAATGCACAAAAGCATCAACACTAGTGTAGAGGGAGGTGGTCATTCATTTGAATGGATGTCACACTCCCAAGAAACATTGTTTTTTAGTGCCTGAATAAGACACAGCTGTCAGAAAAAAAAACATTTTTGAAAAAGAAAAAAAAAACATTTAGCACAATGTTGCTCCTAGCTTATTTTGAGCTAGGTGCAATTCCTAAGCATGTTTTTGTTTCAGGTTCAACGTCTCAAAAGCAAACCAAATTTCGGAATTGTTTTAACTCCAAATAAGTATAGCTACCTAAAAACTAAATTAACATTTTTTTTTACGAAATTTTTTTTTTAACTTTTATTCTTAATTTATGTTTTAAAAATGTTTTTGGCGAATTCAGCGTCTTTTTAAGGACAGCAGGTTCCATACATTCCCAACACTAGAACAAAAAAAAAGTCAGGCATTCACTGCCTTAAGACTTTGAAGCACTTAACTAGTTTTTTTCTAGTTCAGGTCTAATGAACACTCGCAATCTGCAGTTTTACTTCCATTCTCCCAACATCCAAATAGGGAGATGGCATTGAAATAGTGGCTGCAGTCACATAGCACCATGTTGTACACTACTAAAGACATGCAACCTTTGTTGAGAGCAACAGGCAACAGACCAAAAGGAAACGTAACAATTATAACACAGCACTTTCAAACTGGCTTCATTCACATGAACACTGCTTTAGTGGACTGGATCTAGTGTTGTAGTTTGGTTTCAGGGAGAGAGCAGTTGTAATTTTCCATGCCTTGGCCACACTCAATCTTAATGCTGTAACATTAGTGGGAAGGTGGTTGCAAAGAACTGGTCGTTCCAAAAGTTGGCTGGTGGTGGTGAAGCCCTCCCAAACCTATGTATTCCCTAATGATGTACTCCCTAGATTTTATTTGAGACGATGGCCACAGACTTTTACCGCAAGGTTTGGAAAGGGGTTGAATAGACAAGCATCATAGATCCCAATGTAGTGGTATGGCACACTCTTCACATTTAAGGTCAATTTCAGCAAACCAAGGTGCACTGCTAATGTCCAAAAATGTGTAACAATGCAAGAAATCCTCCAGTGAGAGTTAGGTCACACCTATTACAAAACATTTAAATCCAAAAGTGATAAAGCCAGGAAAGCATGAACAGAACCAAATGGAATCATCACTGAATATATAGAACAATTTTGTATGCTGCAACACAAAAGTAAAAAAAAAATATTACGACTGGAGGCAATGCAAAACAACTTGGCATATTTCCTGTTAAAAGGACTGGGGCAGCATGGATGCACACCCCAACATAATAAAAATGGCACGTCACTATCTGAGATTGCTAAAAAAAAGTTGCAGTCTTTTAGCTAAAGTCCTTCAGGGGAAGTTATTTAGAGGAAGTCATTTAGGGAAAGTGCTTTAGAGGGCTACTGCACCATACTGGTTTTGTTTGCAGAGATGCGGCATTAGTGGACTGGATCAGGGGGGGTCCGCTTTTTGGGATGGGAAAAAAGGATGATAAATTGGACACTACTGGCCAAAAATGTCAATGACCCAACGGCGTCGCATCTATGCAAAATTTCATACATGGGTAAATTACTTCCGAAATGTAATTTAATTACAATTACCTTGCTTCAAAAGTAATTTAATTACAATTACTACTACTTGAAAAGTAAATAATTACAATTACAAATTACTTTTCAAAAGTAATGCAATTACTTTACAATTAATTATTTCTGAGAGCAACCATACTTGGGCCATATAACTTTAAATGGGTTGTATAGAATGAAACATATCTGTTCATTCCTTGCCCCGTTTGAGGAGGCTTAAGCATCGCTACATAAATGCGACATATTGTACTTTCCTTTTATGAATTTTGTCAAATTCATAATGGAACTTGACGTTTGAGGCAATGAACTACCACATTCTTATATATTTTTATAAATAAAAATAAATTAGTTCATAAGCTGGAAGACGCCAGATCGCTAAATGGAAAAATTAGGTTGACGGGGTTTTGTTAGCCCGGCAAATAAAAATGCGACAATTAGTCATATGAATATTTTACAAGCTTTGGTATAAAACTAAAATCCACACCTGCTAATACGACCGCATTCACATACAAACATCATGGTATTGTCAATTATTTACACTGAGTTGAAATTATAATGGCTCATAAATATATATGAACCGAATCGGGGCTCTCGAATCATTGGTAACAATATTCACAGGTGCGAGGTCAGTCTCCAAAATGCTTATACAAGTCCAGCAGGAAATGAACTTGAAAATAATACAAAGATACAAATGCGCGACAGTACTGGAAGAGGGACGTAAAAAAACTGGCAAAAAAACAACAAAACAGCTTTATAGACAATTAAAATTTCCTAGCTCAACCGATAGCTGAAGCTAAATTTTTTTTTCTTTAAACATTTTGGCATGTTTACGCTATTGTTTTCTGCTCGCACAGCAAACGGCGCAACACGGCGCCGTTGAGGTAGTCTCCAATGATGATTGCCTCTCAGCTTGCAGTTTAAGCAACAAAGCAAGAAACGATGCGACGCTATTTATGCTGTGCGTGTGTGTGAGTGTGTTTCTTTGTGAGAGTGTTTCACCGAGAGCTAGGCCGCTTGTGCGAGTGCTCAGGCTTTTACCGCTCATTCACACTGGAAGTAGATCCGCCTTCGCAAAGCGGTTGGATAAAGATCCAGTACAATTTCACGTGCACTTGATGTCGAGTGCGCGTGCAATTGTACTATGTAAACTTGCAATACTTGTGCCCAATGAAAACACCTGGAATGCATGCCAGGTCATTAATGGTTTGTTTGCAGATGCAAGTTAGAGACATAATACTACAAGTGCCCTCTTTGGGGGCTTACTGTGCACAACCGCGTACTGCAACGTGAAGTTGTTAAGGGGACATGCGCCAGAGGAAAATTTATTATTATTTACAATATCGAAATAAAATTTTTAGTTTATGGTGCTTAACCTTCTCTTTATAATCTGGTGTTAGATTGGATATAGCTTTTTTTTTAGGTTTTTGATGCAATGTACATGAAGGAAAAAAACATGTTCTTGTGCACACAACGCATGGCAACAAACTTAGAAATGCCTAGTAAAATTAACTAATTCTTTCCTTTCAAACCACTGAGTGCAATGAACAAAAAAATGTGTGCGACACTTCTTTCATTTTAAATTAACAAAAAATAACAAAAATGTCATTTCAAAGGAGACGTGCGTCTCCTTTCATGTAGTGCTCTCGAACGCTTGTTGCTGAACTGCTTCAGGACTTCAGTGTGTGCAAACAAGGTGGTGCATTCGCACACACTTGTCTTCTAGTTCGTTTGTTTCCTCTTATACCTTCTGTTACATTGTTTTCTGTTAATGTCTCTAACAACTGATGCTAGTAAGGATAAACAACTGTTTGTTAGGACAGCATAAGGGCACAATAGCGCCTTTATGCTGCGACATCCTAGGTCGCTGTTCACATTCCACATCCAAGACGTGACGGCGCAGTGAAGATTTCATGAAAAAGGTGGAGTGCCGCAACTGTTGTAGTCCGTTGTTGTTGTTCCTTGGTCCAGACCTCGGAATACCCCACCTCCCGTCAAAACAGTAATCTACAGGAATCGGCAGGTGAACCCCTCCAACCGTGATGCACCCTTGACCTTTCTCAACTGCAAGAGACAATGTTCTGGAGTCGTGACCATGCAATACATGGCTGGTAAGCTGTCTCTGTGCAAAACCTGGTTGTGGGAGTGGCTTTGTTTTGGTAAGAAAGCTATTGTGGAGAGAAAGGTGATATTGAGGCTGTATTATTAGGCTGTAGCAGTGTATGGACTTGAACAAGGTGATGCATGGTATCCCGATGAAAAGAGCAAAGGGACGAAGTAAAAGAATTAAACAAATGTAGGTTTGTGTCTGTTTCGCACTTTCACTCTCTTCATGTTTATTTATTCAGTTACCCTCAGGTCCAAAGGCATTACAGGGGAGTGTGGTGGGGCACATAAGGATAAAAATAAAAATAAAAGACCCACGACATCAACAAAAATAAACAAACAACTGTATGACATTTTACCAAAAAACAACTCAGTCCTGAAAGCTCGAAAACTTGAGTTAACAAGGATTTGACTCCAACCATGCGATTCCACGTTACAGAACAGTTGCAAAAAGAAAGAACATGGCAAATATTTTGCTTGACAGGACTGAACAGCATGTTTGTGATGGTAATCAATGCGTACTGAAATGTATGGCCTTGATAGAAGCCATTTGTTCAGAATTTAGAAGTTACCTTGCAAAACACAAAGTACTTCTCTGCAATGTGAAAAAAGGGGTAATGATAAGCCTACCTTAACCACACTTATACAGGAGCTCATGATAATTGGAAAGTATAAAAAGAGATGTGTGATTTTGCATAATTTAAAGGCAAAAGTACAACCTCGGTCTTCTGCAAGGGACATTATTCTCTTAGCGTTCCCCCTCTCCTAAGCTGCAAGGGGAGTCAAGACAGTGCAAGGTAAAGAAATGGAGAAGATACAGAATAGGAGTCAGGCGAAAGTGGAAAGTGCGAAGCATGTCAGTTTTTATGATATAACAATATCAATTCTAAGTTTAATTGTTTGCCTGTCCATGTTCTTAACCTGTCTTAGCTCATTTCTTTGCTGGAAGGAGGCTTAAGCCCCAAATGAAAGATCACTAAAGAATACTAATACAAAGATTACTTCTTTGTTTTTCATGACCACAAACCTCTGCCAATGGGCTGTATGACATGCAAAACATTAACACAAAACATTACATCAGCATAAAAAGTTAGGAAAAATAAAAACAACCAATGCAAGGAATACAACACAAGTGCATACTAAGCATACTTAGGGAGATAATCATTCACACAGGTGAATGAACTCTAGATGGCAGAGCTTGTTTCAAATCATGAAATAGTATTTGTTATTT